TGGCAGGAGGCAGCTTCTGCGGCCTGGAGCCCATGGGGCCGCTCTGGGCTTTGCAGCCCCAGAAGCCCTTCAGGCGGCTGGTGAAGCGGGACGTGCAGAGCCAGCCGGAGCGGGCGTTCCTGCGGGTCGGGATGCGGAGAGTCCCGGTGCGAGAGGGGAGGATCCGGGCGACTCTTTTCCTGCCCCCCGGTGAGTACCGGTCGTACCGCGATCCTGCTCCCGCGGGTGCTGCCTCCGCCCTCGGCCCTGTGCTCCCAGGCCCGGAGCCGGACCCCCTCCAGGCTCCCCTTGAGCCCGGTACCAGGCAGAGGACAAGGGGAGAGCAGGGCCTTGCCAGCTGGCACTGGGCACTCTTCAAGGAGCGGCCTGATCAGCCTGACCAGCTTTGATCTGCTGGCCACGCTCCTCACGCAGCGCGGCTGCGTGGGCCAAAACACATGTGAGTTTGTTTTATTGACTAGTATTGGACATGAAGGCATTGATCAAAATACCCTTTTTGTTTCCAAATGCCGTGGCAGGTGGTGTCAGCCAGTCTTCACGGTACCTTTCCTCTACCTGGCTGTTTTCCAGGGAATTCTGCTAGTAATCCTTTGCGTAAATTGAAGGTTGCTCTCCAAAAGTCTGGAGTCCTAAGCCTGCTGCGTCCCTTCCCTTCCCAGGCTCTCCACATATCCTGAACTTAGTAATGGCATAGTTGCTGCAGCCCAAGCTGCCTTTTGCTGCCACGTTTGTCCCCAGTTCTTCCCTGTTTATGAGCAGAAGATCAAGTAAAACATTAGACAGCTTTGCCCTAACAGTGGTTTTGTCAGAAAATAATCATTGAGAGGGTCTGTGAGGTTTTCAGATTGCCTGACAAATGCCGTGTTGTCCTCCCAGCATCTGTCCAGACTTCTGCTAGTTGTCTGTAGGAAGCCTCATCTCTTGCCTCCTCTTGGGTCGGGCGGTCTGCAGCAGTCACACCACCACCATATCCCGCCTTTTCTTCCCCCTCTGGTGACCCAGACACTTTCACCAAGCATGTCTTTGGAACCCTGTGTACTCAAGGAGCTCCTCTACATAGCACGTGCCTTCCCCTCTCCCCTTCCCTTGTCTGTCCCTGGCAACTCCTCCATGATAGTGCCAAAATCATACGTCCTGCCCCAGCCAGCGTCCCAGAGTGTGATTGCATTGTAGCCCTGTGGCTGGAGGTGAATTTCCAGTTCTTCTTGTTCTCCTGGCCTCCTGCTTTCCATACTTCATTATCAGTTTGCAGCAACCCCTCTCAGCTCTAGACTTCAGTCCCCATCCCTTGACAAACCTAATGTAAAGCTTCCCTCATCAGGTTAGCAAGGCTGGCTACAAATACTTTCTTCTCTTAATCCCAGAATAAATGGCTATAGTACATTTACACTGAAACTGAGAAGCTGGAACCATCAGAAGATGAGATTTTTTGGATCAGTCTTCTGAGAAATGCACTGGGGAGAAGCCTCCTGGGTATTTTTGAAGCAGAGCTTGATACCTTTGCAGTGAATTTACATAATATAGAGAACTAGTTGTGACTGTCAAGGGATCCCTTCCCTTCCAGTCACGTGTTCCCTGATGCTACCCAAAACATTAGCAGGCCTGCCATTTTGTGCTGTCTTTAATCTTGAAGCAATGTAGCCAGTTACTGAGAACTGGCACAGTAATTTAGGACCCTTAGTACCATTCTGCTGCTCTATGGTTTTTTTCTTTTTTAAAAAGACACATTCCCAGGCCTATGAATTTGGCATATAAATTAAAAGTTGTGGGTTAATGTGCCCTCTTATGTGGTCTCTTGCAGGAAATGGCCCCTTTCCCGGAATTATTGACTTGTACGGAACTGGAGGAGGACTCCCTGAATACAGGGCATGCCTGCTGGCCAACTATGGCTTTGCTGTGCTGGCTCTGGCTTTCTATGGCTATGAAGATCTCCCCAAAGACATGAAGGAATTTCACCTGGAATATTTCGAAGAAGCCGTAAACTATATGTTACAACACACCCAGGTTGGTTTGTTCATTGACTCTCACCAGAGGGAACTCTCATTAGTCAGGGCTTGGCAGACTGATGGGGCAGAGCTGCTGCACTTAAAATAGCACGTCCATTCAAGTTGGCTGTAATTAATTTGTTTTATATCTTTAACTCCCGTTACAATGGTTCTCTGGCAGATTATTCCAGTTCTTCCGTTTGAACTGGCCAGGTGACATGGTGACACATAGGTCACATACTGGTAATTTCTGCTCCATTCAACCCAGTGTCATAACTAGGGTACTCATTGTCTGGAGGCTTACTGGACTTCCAGCGGGACTTTCAGGTTCATGCTCTGTAGAATGTCCTTCAGAACTAGATGCCCTTTTCAGCCATGGAGCACATGATAACCTTCTGTGATCCAGGCCTCAAGGAGGTGCACCAGTACACATTTGTTGCTGTGTATTGTATAAGCTGTTAAAATCGCTCCAAATGTTGGTATTTGGTGAGCGTGGGTTTTAGTAGCTAGTTGTGAACTTGGGGATCCTTCTAAGTTGGCACCTCTGGGAGGAGAATCCTGCTCAGTTCTGCATCTGCTTCCAAGCAGCTGTGCATGACAATAACTAGAATTGCACAAAGCAACACTTGGTTTCTTTGGAGAACTCAAAATAAATACCTTCCTCAACCTCAGAAAGATGAGTAGTTGTTAAAGGTCTTGGTTGCATTTAGGTTGCCCTAACCCTAACTGCTCATGCCACCTCTCTGCCCAAAAAATTCCGAAAATTGCTTTTCCCTGCCTTTTCTTCCCTGAGAGCAGTACAATAGCCTCCCATTAATACCTCCACTGATGCCCTCACCACGTTTTTAATGCATTGCAAAGTTTCAGCCATATTTTCCCCCTTTCCATGCTTCAAAGTCCATGAGTTTGGAGCCTGTTACACTGGTGGTAAGGTACAAAAGGCATTACATTTTTATGCTGTCTCAGAGCCTTTTTACCTGTGAGGGTCTTTGGATATTGGAGCAGTTGTGATATTAGCTAACTTCTTCCGATATCCTTAAGAAGATTTCAGCACCCTGTGAGATCATTTAGTTTTCCTGTGCTAGTTAATTTGCCCATGTAAAAGAAAATGAAGGTAACCTATTCTAGATTGACTCCAGAGGACTGTACTTAGAAAAATGCTTTTAATATGTGATTTTTTAAAGGTGCATTTTAATGAGTAAACTACCTCAGAATACTTTCTTTTCACTGTGAGTTAGACACCAACCATACCAGAGAAACGGGAGAGCAGCTAATGTTGAGTCTGATATCCCATGTTAGCTTCTTAATAGGGGAATTGAAGACAGTGGTTGAATACGAGAAATACCTTGTTGTAGCTGATGACAGTATCATAGTCATTGCTGACTTGGAGCATTTTGCACTGAATGAAAGTATTTGTAGAAAAGGTCTCCCCTGCACCTTCCCTCTTCTTCTTGAACTGCCTTATAAGCAAAGTGAGTTTGGGGTTGCACATCTGCATGCTTTTTGCAAGCATAGCTGTACACTCTGCGTATGCTTCAGCACTGAGCCTTGTAGCTTTGTTAGGATGCTGCTGCAGTCTCAGCAGGGCTTGTGATCATAAATCAAGGACAGAACAGCGTTCTTCAGATGTGAGCCTTGCACACAGGACCTTAGATGCCTATACCCGGGGTCCAGATTCAGGACAGAGACTGCTGTGGACATGGCAACAATTTAAAGGAGTGGTGTGCTGTGGTTCATTGCTTGTGGTTTCTCTTCTATCCCCTCCAGGTTAAAGGCCCAGGGATTGGTTTGCTTGGAATCTCGAAGGGGGGTGACCTGTGCATCTCCATGGCCTCCTTCCTAAAGGGCATCACGGCCACTGCCCTTATCAATGGCTCGGTGGCAAATGTGGGCGCGGTTCTCCGCTACAAGGATGTCACCATTCCACCCCTTGGTGTCGATGCAAAACGAATCAAGGTCAACAAGTCTGGGATTGCTGATATCGTTGATGTTCTGAACAACCCACTAGAAGGGCCTGACTGCCAAAGCTTTATCCCTCTGGAGAAGGCCGAGTGTCGCTTCTTGTTCATTGTTGGCCAGGATGATCGCAACTGGAAAAGTGAATTCTTTGCAGTTGAGGGGAGCAAACGTTTGCAAGCTCACGGAAAGGAAAAGCCCGACATAGTCTGTTATCCCGGAGCAGGGCACTACATTGAACCCCCTTTTTTCCCGATGTGTGCAGCCTCAATGCACCTGCTAGTTGGCAAGCCCGTGGTGTGGGGAGGGGAGCCCAAGGCACACTGTGAGGCACAGATAGATGCTTGGCAGCAGATCCAAGCTTTCTTCCTCAAACACCTCACAGGCAAGCCATCTGTAACATCCAATAAGCTGTGATGTGAGTTAGGTTACTTTACAGATGAAGATGCTGGTGTTTCAAGTTTATTTCGTCAAATGGCTCTGAGTCAGAACCAAGAACACCAGAGAATAAGCATGGGGTTTCTTGAAGGATGATGCGAGAGCATGAGACCTGCTTCCTTTTAACACCCTTCTCTAATCTCAGTTAGAGGTCTTGCCCTCCTGTTGTGTGTGGTGTGGGATTACAAACTGTAGAATGATGGTGGTAAGGCTGGGTCTGCTTTGAATGTGAATTTAAGTGGAAGGTAACTCATCCAAACTGAGAACTGGGATGAAAAGTTGCCTTGGCTTTCTCAGAGGCAACATGTTGTATGTCATTGCCCTTACCAGAGCCACCTTTGTGCTGTAGTTTTTCTGGAAGCAGCTGTTCTCTGTTCCTTGCCTCCAGTAATCTTTCTGTTCTTCCTGTGTGCTTCCCTCTCCTTCCTTGCTCCTTCCTCTTCTCCCACATCACTGAAACGCATCTGCCTTAACACTTAATATCTAATATGTCACTTAACCAAAAGCAGCAATACTGTGCCTGCATCCTCAGATAACGCATCTTCCATTTTTAGACAACAATAGTCCCTAGCCTGATGTGACATTCTGGGCACATGCAATGGAAATGAGACATTTGTTCGGTTTGGGAAAGTTTGTAAGCATGAAGAACCAACAGAATTGGAGCCCTTGGTAGTCATGCCTGGGCCACCTGCTCAGCAGGGCTGGGTATCCCTGTGTAGGCCCAGAGCGCTGTTGGAAGGCAGTTTCTCCCTGTACGTTCCCTTAATGCCTCCACAGCTGCCTGCTTGCAAGCGCTACCAAAAAGGGCAAGGCTGTGAAGCTGGCACGGCAGCTCCCTGAGGCATCTTTGCCTTGCCACTGAGTGCCGTGCAGGCAGGTTTGTGGGGCCTGCCGCCATGTCTGGCTGAGGAGGCAGGCTGGAAGGGGCGGTGAGGGGGTGGCATTGCTGTGGCAGGCCGGGGCTGTTCCCCTGCTAGGCCCTGCAGGCCTCCGGGCTTCCTTTCTGGTTCTCTCTGAGGAGTGGGGGGGGG